TGTTTATCATCGTTCACATTTGTAAAGTTTTATTAAACCAAGACAAAGTGTTTTTAAGTAACTAAAAGTTTAATAAATTAAAGTACATTTCAAGAAATCTGCGCCATTGCTCTTAAATTGTCAATTATAAGACCGCAATTAATGAGATTTGTAAAACTAAATCATGCATGCAATAAAGAAAATCGTTGATACAAATTACGAGAAGAACCGGACCTAAAATTGATCCTTGTAGTACCCCTTCATTAACACCAAGGAATTAATATGATGACATGGATACTGTTGACTATGATATGAATGCACATATAAGAAAGCTTATGTAAACGATTTAGACTTTGAAGAATTCAGTAAAAATTCAATTCATATCAACTTTTTTTAACTCATTTTTAAATTAACATTTGAAACTAAGGTCCTTAGAGAGGTAAAAAAAATTGACCAAAATATCTTTGACTATTGTGAAGCATTGTAGATGTCAAAAAAAATTGAAAAAAAAATTTTTTTTTAATTACATTTTTTTTTTACAATAATTAATGGTTTTTGATGAATAAATTATGGATTATTAAAAAACCATTTTTAGATTAATAAAATGAATAAAAAAAGTCGCGAAGTTATGCAAAGCTATTCGAATATCCCTAATTATGCAATTTTTTACCTTTTTTCTAATTTCACTTCGAAAAATTTTTTTTTATCAAAAACCTCTAATTTTGACTTGTAGAGAATACTTTGCAATTTTCAAAATTGTACTTGGATAATCTGTACGATCATTATTTCCCGAGTAATTGATTGTCAAAATCGAAAATGACTTTTTTGCTCTGATCAACAATAACTTGGCGACAAATCATCGTATAGGGCTCCGGACCACTCAAATTGAAGGGAATCAAATTATCTAAAAGAGATTTATGGTGAAATTACCACAAAAAAAACATTCTTACGTCCATAGACCTTTTTAAAGACAAGCAAAAATTTGGAAATTTTTTTTTTCGTTTGTTTTCTTATAATTACTCAAAAACTGCTGTCACTAAAAAAAAATTTACTACCAGATTCGAAAATTAGAAACTTGAAGCTTCAATTTCCTTATTTTTTTTTTCTCTCTAGGACCATTTCCCTTTAAGTTACAGTTCTTTGAAAATCACACAAAAATTTGAGATTTTTTTAATGGTCCCTAATTTTGTGTCTAGTGTATTAGACTAACACTGTGAGTAATTAAATCACAATAAGATAAGTGTTCTATAAGAATCGTATAAGAAAACAAAGATCAAGTAACTGAAGACATCATATTCTTTTTGCTCAAAACCTTTATCAATCCCTGATACCTATCTGTCTATGACTAAAGTAACTGAAAGAATTGTTGTCTAAACCTGCATTGATATTAATAGAGTTGTAAGGATCATGAATATGCTGTTTCACACATTAGAATACGACTATTCATTTCGTTAGATATCTTTACTTTTTTATTTTCCAAGTTATTTATAACCAAGGTTGCTAATTTATCTGCAATATTCAAAAAATCTGCAACAAAAATTATAAAAAAAAGACATACATATTCACACTCGACAAACAAATTTTAAGTCCTCGTTTAGGTATAGTCCAATAGTATTCTATGACTTGCAAGCATATTCGTTGTGATCTTATTAGCATGGCGCTATATTTATTTTTTTAATAAATCCCAATCTTTGTAAAACTTTAACATAGCTGCGCTTTGGGAATTAAACGAAAAAAACAAACCTACTTTCTGATATGAAAACCGGAGATAAGGAAGGGAATACTTTTATTTAATTAAAATATATAAGGTACAAAAATAAACTTTTTCAGAGTTGTTTGTAGCCAAATGGGCCCCTAAAATTGAATTTAAACCCTGTTTATCCAAAAACAACATGATAGCCAGAGAAATATTTTAAATATTTCAAAACACTTCGCAACGTGAATTAAGACAGACGACAGTTTGGATAATAAAAACAGCTCGAAGACATTTAGGTTATTTATAATTTATTTAATTTCGCTGGATAGGAAACTTATGTTTCTACGAGATTAAAATTAATTAGTCTAGTTTCTTCAGAGGCAGTGAACAGTTCCTTGAGTTTCTTTACTAGAGTTGATTAAAGATAAATAAGATGCGATTCCGGTAATTGCAGTATGAAATTCATAGAGCGGTAGAGCGGATATTCTCCACATCAATTTTGACTCATTTATACAAAGACAACTTTAGATTAAAACTCGCTGTTTTCGTCACTAAATGTATTGTTATAAAATTGTAATAACTGAGACAAGAACTCATCACCTACCGACCAATCAGTCCTAAATTCTTTCGCAAAAGGTATAATCACCCTGTGCAGGTACAAAGATAAACTATGACACAATATTAGCGCGCGGTTTTTGAAATGGGGGTCATTAAATCGAAGATTAATGAGAATTCTCGTTTAAACTGAATGTATTTTCTGTGTTTTTGCAAGGAATGAATAATTAGAAGTGTATGCACTAGTTCGGAAGCTCATAAATATCTCAATTAATCATATTCACGAGCTTCAATTTATTACCATTGGTCAGCATCGGAATATTATTTAAGCCCCAACGTCAAACCTTTTTGTCTGTGACAGGGTATGACTTCCAAGTTATTTTAGCGTGAATATTTGTTTTCTAAACTCGACTGGACTTGACTTGTCCCCTCTTCCTGAGTTATGATTAATAATTTTTCAACTAGGCGAACTTTTAAAACAGAGATTTCAGATCAGTTAGCGGTAGAACATATTTTGTGGTAATCAACAATTATCAACAGTATAATAAAGTTTAAATCTTTGTATATCTCAGAATCATAGACCTTCGTATATGGCACAAGTTAAAATAAAATGCCAATTTCTCGAGAACATCATTTCAAGCTTACAATTAAATGCAAGCGAGTGTTGTCAACATGACGACGTCGTTGATAAATTTTACAAACAAAAGAGGGCCTAATATTGAACCTTGGGGAACGCCACACCTCTGAAAGAGGGATTATTTTCATAAAGCAATAAAGTGGTTTAGTTCAAGTTTTGTCATATAATATTTATGCCGTAGATTTTAACTACAGCCAATTTGATGGAGCTGAGGGAGCTTTACGACTGTTTCCAATTTAAATTGTTTCAAGTTTATGCTTCGGAACTATGAAATCTCGGAATGGTACGTTCCGGAATAGCTGAATATCTGTAAACGGCGAGTTATTGGCTCTAACAACTATTACCGAGATTTACGCAATTTATCAAGCTGCCGTACAAAATAAAGTAATTGCCAATGAACTGGTGTTGGCTTATTGCCAATAACATACTTTTTTGCACTGTTAATTACTATGTACAGGTGTAATCCAATACGGCTAAAAAAAGCTCTAGAAAATTTCTTAGACTTGTAGGTATTGCAAAAAAGGCTTGGAATAATTAATATTACGGTTTTGTAGGTTAATTAATAATTGTGTACAAAAGTCGCAAACAAAATACGCGAATACGAATTTGCTAATTTTGTAAAACTGGAAATAATCCTACGTTCTTATATCGTGTTCCAAAATTCACGCAAGATTTGAATTTTGACAGCGTGACAGCTGACAATTCAGGGTAGTTAAAAATGGAGTGCTAGACGAAAGAACAACGCATTTTCATTGTTGATCAATATTTTTAGCCCAGACGGTATTTGTTTCAAAAAGTCCATATTTTTTCTATGCGCATAAAAAAACGTGGGCTTAACTTTTGGTGGTACAATATTTTAAAAAAATTCGAGAAATGTCATATTTTTCTTCCTATTTAATCATGTATCTTTTCAAGAGTTGATTTTAGGGGAAAATGAAAGAGGAAAAGAGAAAAGAGGAAAAACATGTTTGTAATTAAATTTTTTACAAATTATGACTACAAATCGAATGAATCATGATTATTATTTTTTGGGGTCTTTAAATTGGGTATAGGACCTTCATACTTGAAGAAAACTTCATGTTATGTAGAATCATCACACCATATTTCATCAAAAACGGTTCTATAGATTTTGTATAATAATTTTGCAATCTAAATTTTGAAAAAAAATTTGCAAATTTTCAAAATTTTGCACAGCAAAGACCAAGGCCCTTAGATACTTGAAAATGTAATCACATATAGAAGGGCTCTCAAGCTTTCAAACGCTTTTTGAAAAATTCGAATCCGTCAATTAGAAGAACTCCGACGCTTGTTTAAACATTGGTCGAATTTTTGTACTTATAAACAATTAGAATAACTTTGTGAATATTCAATCAAATCAAATTTTTTAAAGCAGGTTTTAAAAGTTATTGGAAAGAAGCTTCTTTAAAAAAAAAACAGATCGATTGGTCAATTATTATTGATTATTGGTCAATTCGACGTAGTTAAAAGTTACTTTGGAAAATTTACTCTCCATTGTAGACATGTATGAAAAGAAGAACAAATAATCTAATATCAGCAACCTCTTGTATCCCAAGATTTTCTTAATTGCCGTATAAATTACATTCCATAGTACCACCGTACAAACTCGTTTAGCTCATTTTCTGATTTAATAGGGCTCCATTCATGAATTTATTTTTAAAAACGTACCGTGAACTAGCTTAAATTCTCATCAATAGACGTCAGACGCCATTGAAAATTTATTTTTACACTTCTTATTCCAAAATTAACCTTCAGAATGAAATAAACGCTCATCGTAGGGCCTTTTATCCATAAAAAGCTATTTAAAGATCGCTGAAAAGAGACCCGTTGAACAATTGAAAAACGACGGCCATACAATTTTTTGTATTATATATACCGCGTGCGTTATTTTGGTGGTTAAATTAAGAAAATTTTCTTTCACAACAACAGTAATATTTAAATCGATACAACCAGTACATTCTGGGGTTCCTCAGGGCTCAGTTTCGAGACCATTGTTATTTTAAATGACAGAAGCTTCTTCTAAATCTAGTAAAGGCAATACTCGATAATGAAACGGTTGTTTGGCGGCTTGGCTTGGAAGTTATGACGGAAACGAAAAAAAAAAACACTACTCACCTCATAGGGTTCTCCAATAGTAGGCCCTGCCTGAGCTATATACAGCGTGGATGCCGAATCAAAGACCAACTCCAAGGGCTTCCTCTGCACCAGCATCGTCTCCGTCTCATTGCAGTTGAAGAACAGAGTGACGTTGTCCAGCGACACCCTGAAGGCGAACCTCATCCATTTGCCTAGTGATGGGAAACACTGGTTATTTTACCAGAATGATACCGGTTTAATTGTAACCCCATAATCGTTCGTGTGAACGAACCGTAGAGTCATAGGTAGCGAATGATTCGATTATTATTAAGGTCCGGGCAGTAACCGTACATACCAGGGCCGTACTTGATTTCTAGAAGCGTTATTTTCACAAACTGCAACACGTAAGGAAAAGAGACTACACGTATTTATGGAATATAAAAAAATCTAGATTTGGGATTTGGCAGACTAATTTGGTGACTAATGACATCATCAATTATATTGTTTTCAGAAACACCCAAATTTTTTCCTGTAATTGGTAATTCTTTTGAGACTCTTTAGGGTGATATTGCTTACAACTTTTAAACAGGCAGTAATACAGAAAAAAATCTCTAATATAAGTTTATTAGAAGAAAGAGAGCTTTTTAACAGAAAATTTGGATGTGTTTTTGGAAAAAAAATAATTGATGACGTCATCAGTCGTTTCTGTCAAATCCCAAAGATAATACTTTCGGTTGAAAATGGAGGTTACCTCATCCCATTCAACACCACGTGTCCCAAATTTTATTTAAATTTTTTGTATCCTCACAGTAGGCCCATACTATCGAGTTTGAGACACATTGTACAACGGTGTACTGAATCCGCCCCTGGATTTTAATGTACGGATCATGTACGGACCCTAATAATTACCAATGAACCCTTCACGAACCACACACACTCTACACTTACCGTGAAACTTGGGAACTGTGAAGTTCGCTATGCTCTGCGAATTGAACTCGGACGAGTCGGTGTAGAAGAGCGACAGCGCCGCCGAGCTGGCCCCTTCGGGCGCTATCCTGACGCCCAGCTCGACGACCGTGTCGTACGGGTTGACTACGGCGAAGATGAAGCCGCCACGTTTGGATCGCGGCTTAGCGCTTATTAGAATCGAGAACTCCGGCGACAGCTTCTCCGGCAATATTTGGCGATGGGCTATCTTGACGTCGGATCCGGTGCGGAAGCCGAAGGCGGGGAAGCCGTCGTGGCCGTCCTCGTCGATGTACTGCGTCTTGGCGTCCTGGAAGGGGATCTTCACGGCCCTGAGGATGTCGTATTCGGAAACTGAAACACAAATCAACACGAAAAAATGAAATTTACGCAATAAAACAGTGAGAAATGCCATTAATTTTACTTAAAAAATAAAGATTATGCAATCAGACAACATAAAGAGACATCTTTTTAGATCCGCGCCAGCCAGTAATTTTGTTAAATTAAAACAATAAGATCAAGATTGAAAATGTTGATTTTTCATCTAAAAATGCATGTTTTACCATTTTTTAAAAATAACTCGGAAACCTTGCGTTTTATCGAAAAACTCGTATATAGCAAAAATAAAGCTTTTGAAACAACGAATCGATACATTTTTTGCTGATTACCGTAGATGTAATAATAACCGAGTTATCTCCCTCTAAAGGTGATTGTTTATTTTTTGGAAAGAAAAATCGAACTTTTTACCGTAAAATAATGGCGAAAGAACTAATTTTTCGAAGAAAATGAATATAACCTTTTTTAAAGTGCTTGGAAAGACCTTTAAAGTGCTTTTTGAAACAATTTCGTAGCTCAAAAACTCGCGGAGTTATGAGGAAAATAAAATGGTCATCTCATTTTTTCGAAGAAAAAATCAACAATAAAATCTATGGCTGAACCATAAGAATAGAAATTAAGCGTAATCCATGTACAGTTGACTTTATTTACAAGTTTGACCGGTTTAGAATGCCTAAATTTAAAAAAGAGTTTCAAATAATGCTAAAAAATATTAATTTTTAAAAACATTTCTTTTTTTTTCGAAATAACTCAAAAACTAGACAAGATACGTGAAAAATGCAAGAGTTCAAAATGGAAGGTATTTTTTATAATATTTTTGCTCTCTTTCGATTTTTTTGTAGAACAAAAATTAACAGAAATATTACGTTTTTTAGTTTGCACTTGCGTGTAAGGACCACCTTCTTTGAGTCCTTAAAACCTAAAAATCTCGAAAACGAAGAGTTCAAGACCCTTCAACTATACAGTGTGAGTCAGTTTTTTGTGGTAGGATTTTAACAGTTGATAGAGATTCATTTTTTAATAAGAAAAGTTCCTATAAACGTAGGTCTTAGAACGCTTCGTTTGTGAGATATAGGGTGTTGAAAACAAACATTTTTAAGAATTTTTCTCAATATCTCTAAAAGACCAACAGATATTAAATTGAAATTTGGCATGAAAAAACAAACACAGAACTTAAAAAAAGAACTAATTGACACACACGTTACACAATGTTTGCGTTCTTATGTCAACGTTATCACATTTAATAGTTTTTGTTGATTTTCAGGGTCATCATATTTTTCTTATTACAAATGTACTACCAATATCGTTGGAACAGTTTCATGCCAAATGAATTTAACCAAAAACCGTTCATTTTATAAAAAAAACTGAAAGAGAACTGTTTTGTTCAGAATTGATTAAAAAATTTAGAAATTATGTTATTTTCCAGAAAAATCCACGGGCGTACGATTTGTTTTTTTAAAGGGGGCAGTAACCCACCTCAGGCACGTCACTGGTATGCGAAATGGATAACAGATATCTTTGTTTTATTCACCATAACTAATGTGTTATTAATACCAAATTTCAGTTCAATACATATTGGTCTTTTAGAGATATTAAGAAAAATTCTTAAAAAAAGTTTATTGTCAACACCCTATATCTCACAGACGAAGCGTTCTAAGACCTACGTTTATAGGAACTTTTCTTATTAAAAAATGATTCTCTATCAACTGTTAAAATCCTACTAAAAAAAACTGACTCACCCTGTATAGGTTGATTTGTAGCTCTTGCAATTTCCTGCTTTTTGGAGCGATGAAACGTATTAAAAATTAAAAAAATTATCGTGAAAAAATGAATTGGTAATGATAGTATTAATCCAACTGATTGGGGATGGATTTTAAGGGTTGAAACGTTGCAATAAATCATGTAGGTATCTATAAACAGTGAAAAATAATCAATTCTTCATTATTGCTCCATCAAAACATTTCAGAGCCGCGAAAACTAATATTTGTTTTTTTTACCCATAAAAGGTGGATTTTAAGGGTTGAAATGTTACTACAAATCAAAAATTATTTTTCAAAATATAAAAGAATGCTTATTCTATTGACATAACACTTAAATCTATGGTTTTTACATTTTTTGCAAGAAGGGGTAGTTTTCACCCCCTAAAATCAATAAGCGCACATTATGGATATGTAACTTTTGTAAAAGAGGGTAAAATGAGCTTACTCACCAATTTTCATGAAAATCGGTGCATGTGTCAAGAAGAAGTTTTCCTGGTTTGAATTTATTGATTAAATATCTCTATTTCGTGAAATTTCACAATGTTCTTTAAACGTTATAATCTTACCGATGTACGTGTAGCGTGACGCGAATTTTCCGTAAATGGAGGAGACACAGTTCACATGGCAAATTCAATAAATAATTGACGAAGCAAGAGGAAGTTTCTATTCAGAAAGGAACTCCCAATAAAGCATTAATAAATTTTTGATTATACCATAGCAAAGTTATTTTATTCTTCGCTTTTATTATTTTAAGCTTCGAGAGCCAAGATGCTGAAAACATGAAAAAATATACAATGCACGAATCCATGCTTGGAGCTACTTGTCGTAATTTGATTATTGTTGTCTTGAAAATAGGTATTTTAAAATATCCTATATTCAAACCTTTTATTTAAAAAGATGTTAGAAATACTTACTACAACAGGAAAAACTTTTTCACCCCTTTCAATTTTTGACATAAGTTCATTAACACCCTGTATAGATATTTATCTATCTGCATGTAAAGACCTGTTTTGTAACGACAAAACCGTATATTTTTCCAATAGAACTAGAAACCGGAAATATTTACAGTGTCAATTAAAGGAACTTTGAAAGGTTTTTTTCTATCGATATTATGTTTAACATTTCACTATAGTGACATACTCATTTTACTAGAGGAAACTATTTTTCATTTCTGTCATTTCCAAAGATCAGTCTAGGCAGACGGTAAAATTCTTGTAACTTTCCCGTTTCCAGCAAGTTTTCCTGAAGCGGACCTGATTGATTAATATTAAATTAGTTTTATTACGTTTTAAGAGCAGAACGACGGGATTATAAGATCTGAAAAGAAAGATTAAAGTTAAATTGTTTCTGTTCTCTGACACCCCAAGCTCCGCGTATTTATTAAATTTTAAGGGTAACTTTCATTGGAACGGCTTTTCTATTTTGTTTTTCTGAATGTACACTGCGTTTAACTTTAATGTAAATTGCTAATACAATTGTCCCTCCAAGGTTGATTATAAATATGAGGAAAATGGAAGGTACGCTTAACCGAATTGTGAATGTATTTCAGGCAAATGAAACAGTTTGAGAGTAGAAATTGAATCCTCGCTTCTCCCAAAGAATAGTGGAAGAGGAAGGGGTATATTGGTTTGTTTCTTACTATTTATAGTGTGGAATAGATGGCGCTTTTGATAATTGAAAGCGTGTTCGTTCGGATATCTGAAAATTCTCGGATGTTAGAAATACTTGGAATTAACTTAGTTGCAACGTACCCCCTCAGTCCAAGCTTTCAAACAAATATTCCAACTTCCTGCAACAAACATAAGATATACCTACATCTCTCGATTTAGTTCTCTTATATTTCGCCTGACGCGCGCGAAACTTTTAAGTTTATGCTATTGGGTACGACCGTTTTCATAAAATAAGAAACCGCTTGCTGAAAATTGACTTTGTCATATATCAACTAGATAATAGCAGAAAAAGTTCAGAAACTCCAAGTTAGTTGGACAAGTTGGAATGGATACGTTTTTTCGGGTTTCGGGCAAGGTGGAAGGTTATTGTTGCGGAACTGGAACTTTTTAAATATTAACTTCGCCGGAAACCCATTTTATGCACAAATTTATTGTGGAAGCTATAAATTTATAATATTTCCGTAAATAATACAGCGCTTGCAAAAATTGATGCATCAGATGATGGCACTTGTAAACTACATAAAAACTTAATATTCATTTAACTTTTTATGTAATCGACTTACGTCTACTAAGAAAGATCTAAAAGCAATGGCGTTTCTTTCAGAAGTTGGGGGGGCAATAAATAATAAATAATATGTATAAATGGAAATGGAATAGTCTCTTACTTCTTCCGAGGAAAATATGTTCCTGAAACTCAAGAATTCCGCTCCGCCAGGAAACAATCCCTACGAACTCTCAAGGGGGTGTTTTCTCTCCAAGGTTAATAGGGTTGCGATATCGTATAAAGTTTAACTATATGGAATTGTGAGAAGGGGAATTTTCCGAACTTGGCGTATATATATCAGCGGTAATGGCGTATAATTACTAAGGATATATGAAATTTCCAAAGCGAAAAATGTAAATGTTCTATTAATTTTGTGTTTTGCTACAGCTGTTCAAGACTGGAATTTAATTAATAGTAGAAATGATTTTTTCTCCCTTGTAATTAGAGCCTCTTTGCTTCAAAACATTAGAATAATCCTCTGACACAATTTTGTTTGTTCTGTTCTTACATTCTACATATCAACGTCTGGTGCTTTTAACAAAGGATTTTTAGCTTCGTTTCTAAAGTTTCTTTTCACATTTTCATTTTTAATTTAGCTCAGCAAGTTTTTTTTCTCTGTACTTAGTATCTGTTAGCTGGCACCAATCTGCCGTGACCCTTTTCCGGGAACCATAACGTGTGTGTCCCGCGTTGCAGATTCGTCTGTTCTTTGTCGCTTGTAACTGTTAGACGCGCTCTTCCATTCCATTGAGTGAAATTATTGAGCACATTTTCACTCAATATTGAGCATCACAACTTGCATATACTCAGTCTTATTCTCGGCGATCACAAAACGTCTCCACCCTCTACTTCCCCGTTTCCACAACACGGAGACGTCTTCGTATAACTCATTCCGACCACAACAGGCTATAACGGAATGGCTAATGAGCTGCAGTTATTTATTTATTTTCATTAGCCGTTAATTTGTTGCCCTTGCTTTATCCACGCTCATAGCCGGCCCAGAAATAATAATGTTATCTCCGTTTAGTTCCTAGGAGGCCGTCG